AAAAATAGGATAAAGAATTCTATGCTTCTCATGTTTGCACATAAGTCCAAAAATAACGAAGGACTTTTTCCTTTATTCCTAATGTTCATTATTTGAGTACACCTAGAAATTGCTCTAAGCTAGCAGTCAGCCTGTCAGTGTTTATATGCAGAAGTTACTAGCATGTTTTCTAAAAAGTGCACTTACTTGCTGTTTCAATACAAGGTTCTTCACTCCCTCCATCACAAACTGTGATCCTGTATTCATGACTCGTGACAAGAGGCTAGGAAAGGCAAAAGAGAAGGAGGACCACACTGAGTACACATTGCTTCTCCCATTTGTTTGTTGTTTAATTATTCACCTAGTGCTGATTATAGTACCTGTTTCCTCTGTTTTCATTGAACAAAGTCTTGAGAATTTCTGCTTGTTGGGATATCAATTAAAATAACAATAAAATAGTAATACTCTGATTAACATATATATTATATATAATTAATACATATTATTTAAAATATAAAGAGTTGCCCTCAAAATTAAGGTTTCACTTTTATGTATTTAGTACAGGGTCTACACAGTCTCACTACACAGATTCTCCTGTTTTCAGCCTGCCACACACTGGGATTATAGGTGCACACCACCACAGGTGCACACACCACACAGTCTCAATCACTCAGTGCACCCTGGGGGCGGGACTGCCATGGCATGCTGGGAATGGAACCCGGTCCCTGAGCCTGCCTAAGCAGGTGCTTTAGTCCACTGAGCTATCTGGCTGGCTCTTAATGTTTTAATTGTGTAGCTTTAAGTGTAAGTTTTAGGCAAATTATAATTTGAGAAGATCTTGTCTTTGATTGCCTTATGCTAAAATAGTATAATTAAAAAGTCATATTCAGTAACTTGCTGTAGGAGCTTAAAAACATCAATATATATGCCTGTTAATATTAGGAGTAGGTCAATTGTAGCTGGGTTCTCTGTATCATAGCAACTGGATTTAATCCTGCCTTGTATACCATCTCCCCTCTCTATAAATAAAATCACATAAAAATATGAAGCATGGGACTGGGGAGATAGCTCAGCAGTCTAAGTGCCTGCATGGCAAGCACAAGGACCCAGGTTTGGTCCCCAGTACTGCATGTCATGTTGGCCCCAACTGTGCTGGGCACCAAAACTGGGCATGGTGGCATGTGTCTGTAATCCCAGTGCTGGGGAGGCTGAGACAGGAGGATCACTATGAGTCCAAGTAGCACAGTGAGACCCTGTATCAAATAAATAAATAAATAAAATAAAAAAAATATGAAGCATGGTAGAGTGAATTGTGCTTCAATTCTGAAGAATTTTTTAATTTGAAATTTTATTTTATTTTTTATTTTTTG